GACAATTTACAATCACCAATTAACCTCAACATGTTTGTGGGAGGAACCCGGAGAGAACCCACGCTGCACGGGGAGAACATGCAAACTCCACGCAGAAAGATCCCGGGTGTCCTCACCGGTGACCTTCTTGCTGCGAGGCAACAGTACTAACCACCGCTCCACCTTGCAGCCCCGCTGTGAAGCAGTGCTTTTATATATAAGAGGTAGTAACGCACAAAGCTGCAGAGTTTTGTGTCAGCAAGGAACCGGAATGCAAAATCGCAAACAAGGATGTAAACAATGTGTGTTTTAAATAATTCAAAAATGCTTCCAACAAGCTCCACAAGGAACCTTCAACAACCAACTTGTAAAGTACAGTTGTTAATAAACTATTAAATCAAATCTTATTTTAAAAATATATATATATATTACCGAAAGTCACATCTAGGAATAATGCTATTAAATGTTCATATTCTATTTTATTCTATTCCATCTGCTCCATTATCACCATTCATCTCAATGTAACCTCTCGTGGGGCAGGTATGAGATTACCTGCCATTAGGCCTCTTACTGTCAGTCATCCTCACAGCGGGAGGAGGAGGAGGAGGAGGAGGAGGAGGGCAGCCGCTCAGCTCTGGGTGTGAACAGGAGAGCAGAGAGCAGCATAGAGCCATGTCTATCCTTTCTAACGCACACAAAGCTGATCAATCGCTGCAGCTCGCCTCTGCCTCCCTCCACCGAGACTCGTCTCCGTGGAGACCAGACTAGGACTCAGCTGCCTGCAAGACCCATTAGTGGTCAAAGCAGTGAGTTCGCACAGCTTTTAACCTGCCAGATGGAGGTCTCCAGAGCAGGATAGAGATCTCTATCTCACTACCACCACGGGCTATGGGGGGAAAAAAAGAGGAAGAGAAGAGGATCATTACTGGGAGATTAAAGAAGCCTGGCCAAACTGTTTACCCTGCATACACATGTTTACTGTCACTGGAGACCTTAACTGACCCAAACTGTTGCTACTACTCTCCAAACCCTTTACCATAAACCATGAACAGGCAGATTAAGGCCTACACGTAGCAAAAACAGTGATATTTCAACGGGCCTTTGGTCTTAAACGAAGCTACAAGTCACCGAAAACATATCTGGAAACAAAGTGGAGATTTGGAAAAACTCCGTCTTTGCATGTAGACAGGAGGAGACGGAGTTTGACGTCATGTGTGTGCGACCCATGTTTACAGTTTTGGCTACTGCGATAGAAATGGATGCTGTTAAAGCCATGTTTGTTTCTACGTTTGTGCAAATGCTTTTGGCCTGTTTGCATTTACATTCAGAAATGTTCTATCATGTGGAGGAGCAGAGGAGAAGGATCGCTCGAAACCCTCACGCCATTATCCTTGAATCCTTGTTTTTTCCAGGATTCTGATTGGCTAGCATGCTTCTAGCTACACTGCCCCCTATAGGTTGGGCATGCTCATAGCAGCTCTTAACGACGTGTTTGTGTAAACGAAGATTTCTTTTGAAAAACAATCTGGTGTGAACAATGTTATTTTTCAAAATGTGGATCCGGTTTTGTAAATATGTGTGACCTTAGAGAGGGACCTTAATGCACAGATGTTCAATGTAAAATCTCAGACAGTTAAAAGGCCTTTGCAGAGCTGCTCCTTTGTACAAAGTCAAAATAGTTATCCGGCTTTACATTTTTAGCCTCAACCAACAGACAAATGACTGCAATTTCTCCAGCAATTGGTCGTCTAATTTTACATGTACAACGTTGCAACTCTGAGACCTGCTGCGGTTTATTTTGAGGGCCGATCCAGACACGAAACCCGACTTTTGGCTCATTAACTTCCGACTGACTTCATGCACACGCCAGCCTGTGCAATCTTGTGTGGTCGACGTCGTGGTGAAACACGCCTTCTTACTGACAGCGGGCAAAATGGCACAACGCTCTTTCACAACTTTTCCTCACGACTGAACGTGAAGCCTCGGTGCAATCACTAGAAAAAACAATCCCTTTACACAGCATTACATAAAGGTCTGCGCTCTCAAGTCGCTCTAATCTCACATCACATGATCCCCGTGGGGTCCCCGAGGTGCATTTTTTTGTACTTACAGATCACATAGCATCGAGTCACCCCCCCTTTAAAATGATATTTTAAGTCTCTCCTCAGTTGAGCTTAAGCCCGAGGTAAACCCAGTCACATGTCCTTTGTGTTTACTGAGCAGCTCATGATGTCTGCAGGCAAAGACTCACAAAGTCTGATGACATCTCCTAAATCATCTTCCCCTTTTTAAAAAGCACGTTATAGAAATTACAAGCTTTTATAGAGTTTTCCGGTCATGCTTAAGTCTGCTGTGTCATGTTCCCTCTGGGTACGCAAATTACTGAAGACGCACAATAGCAGCGTTACTGATGATGTCTGGGAACATTTTAGAGCAACATGAGGCAACGACAGCATCGATTCAACTGATTAAAAGAGGCCGAGCAGCATCAATAACACGGAGTCCCACATCAGCACCTGCTACGACATCACGCCAGTCATCCCAGAGGAGACAGATGTCCTCCACGCAGGGAAACCAGCCTTTTACTGAGCTGCAGGACGGACGAGAATGCCAGCTCCTTTATAGCACAAAGGAGTGTCATTATCTCCAGAAAAACAAATAGAAGGCATTATGGTGTATAGGAGCTGACGGCGGTGCAGCCAGGTCTCTCAGCTGGCACTGTTTGCTGAGCCAGGAGCCAGCAGGCTGGACGGGAAATGACCACTATTGATTAGCTGGCAGCTGCCACATCTGTTCTCTCATTAGGCGGAGACGCACAAACGTAGACGGACACAAACGAGGCTTCAGCTCGAGGATTACGTTGAAATTATACGACAAATACTGCAAACGTAAGGAGGAGAGCTAAAACAGACCGGTACAATTGTGGTAATGAAGCTGTTAGCCTTAAAAGAGGCAACATCCCAGCAAACAGGAACCTTTAGAGAACGGACACTTTTCAGAAACAAACATTCAAGGAACGTAAGTGTTTGTTCCCTGAATGTTCCAGTTTCCTGGGCTCGGAAAAATTCCACTAAAGCTAACCTTCAGGACATGTTCCCTCAAGGTTCCCTGAATGCTCCTATTTTCTCGGCCATGTTTACAACAAAACTGTTTTCCTGCTAACTTTTACAAAAGCTAACCTTTCCAAAAACACTCCAACAATGTTCCCTGAAGGTTCCTATTTTCTAGGCTCTTCACAACAAACTAAAACTTTCCTGCTAGCATCCACAAAAGCTAATTCACAAAACGCTCCAGTAATGTTCCCTGAAAGTTCCTCTTTTCTAGGCTCTTCACAACACACTGTGACTTTCGAGCAAAATTCAACCAAAACTAACCTTCAGGGAGCATTCAGGTAGCGTTCCCTGAAGGTTTCTGTTTGCTTGGTTGTGTCGACAATAACCTCTGACTTTCTTCTAAAACACTACAAAAACAAATCTTTGGGTAACGTTCCCTTAAGGTTCCCTGAATGCTGCTCTTTTCGGGGCTGTGTTTACAGCAGACTAACTTTCTTTTAAAATTCCACAAAAACAAGCCTTCGGAAAACGCTCAAGTAACATTCCCTAAATGCCCCTTTTTTTCTGGGCTGCGTTTACAACAGACTTTATTGCAAAATTCCACCAAAGTGAACTTTGACGAAACATCCAGGTATTGTTCCCTGAAGGTTCCTGTTTGCTGGGTTGTGTCTACACTAACCTGTGACTTTCTTTCAAAACGCTACAAAAACAAACATTCGGGTAACATTCCCCCAAAGGTTCCATAAAACGTTCCTCTTTTCTCGGCTGTGTTTACAACAAACTTCCACCAAAACTAACCTGTGGGGAACGTTCAGGTATTGTTCCCTGAAGGTTCCTGTTTGCTGGGTTGTGTCCACACCAACCTGTGACTTTCTTGCAAAACGCTACAAAAACAAACATTCGGGTAACATTCCCCCAAAGGGTCCATAAAACGTTCCTCTTTTCTCGGCTGTGTTTACAACAAACTTCCACCAAAACTAATCTTTGGGGAACGTTTGGGTTTTGTTCCCTGAAGGTTTCTGTTTTCTGTCTACAATGAACTGTCACTTTCTGGCAAAAATTCTAAAGAAAAACAACTAACTTTCAGGAAATGTTCAAGTAGCGTTCCTTTACAGTTCCTGAAATGTTGTGTCTGTGTTTACAACAAACACTGACTTTTTGGCAAAATTTCAGAAAAACCAACCTCTAGGGAACGTTCCCTGAAGGTTCCTGTTTGCTCAGTTTTGTCTACAATAAACTGTCTTGTAGGGGGAAAAAATCCACAAAAACTAACGTTCAGATAACATTCTTTTAAGGTTCTCTGAATGCTCCTCCTTTTCTGGGCTGTCTTTACAATAAAACTGTGGCTTTCTTGTGAAATTCCACGAAAACTAACCTTCAGGAAACGTTCCCCGAAGGTTCCCTGAGGGTTTCCGTTTGCTGTGGATGTTAGTTAGAGTTGCCTGTTAGCGGTCGGACATGAAGGAAGCGAGCAGCAGGAAAAACCCGCTGCGTTCACAAACTTACCTTCTCGAGGAAAAAGCTGGAACTCGGCTCCTTGATGTCTTCGGTCCTCAGAACGACGCGGGACGAGCTGCTCTGTGGAAGTGGGCTGACCAGGTGCACCTGAAGGCTCCTCTCCTGCTCCAGCAGCTTCTCTTTCTCAACAGGCGACTTTTTTTCTCCCTCCCGGTTGTTCGGCGGCCCGGAGCGGCTCCCGGATCTGTGCTCGTGCGCAGACTGTCGCTGTTTCACTGCGGACACTGAACTCGCGCTGCCAGGTGCTGCTTTCTGCCGCGAGCGCAGCGCGAGGACACACGAGAGGGCTGTCCGAACGAGGCGCACGTGAGCGCGCGGGGAACCCACATCAACAAGGCTCGCGCACACCCTCAAGACGCAGTACACGTATCAACAGCATCTGAGTCCAGCTGTGTTTGTCACCTTAAAGCAGTTTTATATATTAATAGTTTGTCTCAGAGGAGTTTTGTTAAAGTTGATGTATTTCACCTCCTGTGTTTCTAAACCTGCAAACAGACTCAAGTTTGAAGGCTTAATGGTGGGTTTATAGTCTTTGTGTTCCTACCTGCAGGGCTGCATTCACATGCTGGGGAGCCTCTGGGCAAACACAAACTGTGGGCACCTGTAGTGACCCCCAGTGCTCCACTGCAGGAACGTTATAACCTTTATGCCTCTTCTGAAGGCAAGAACCAACCCCGTAGAACCTGTATCAGGGCTGTTGTCAGGGGAGAAATAAAGTACCTGCTCCTGTGTGGGTATTAAAAACCTGCTGTTACGTCCTAAACACGGATCAGTTATACTTAGAGAAGATAAGTGCTGATTGGTGATTCAATTTAAGTTAATTCAGCTTAAAAAATAAACATGTGAAACAGCACTAAGGTAGTGTCAGTCTTCAAGAAAAGATTAAAGACTGAAAACAAACAAACCAAAAAAAGAAAATCCTACTACCTCCCTACAGCCTGCTATTGGCATCACTGCTCTATCACACTTTAACTTGTTCTATGACTCTTATCCAGATTGTTTTCTCCTGACTAGATCCTTGCTTGTGTTGTATCTGCCCTCAGATGTACGTCACTTTGGATAAAAGCATCCACCAAATTAAATCGCAGAAATTGTCATGTTATGAGTTGCGAAAGTGTAAAACTGAGTTAAACAAACATGGGAAAACAAGTACGCTAAACTTCTGCTATTAATTTGAATCAACTCAGACAATGGCTGCAGACAGACTTGATTTCCTTTTGTGCTTCCTAACTTTAAAGAGTTTCTTCTTCATTTAACAACTGATGACTTCAGCTGTTGAAGCTACGTTTGACCAAAGTGGTTAAAAACAGGACGAATCCTCAGTCTGTGGGTGTAGAATTTATAGTTACTGTCACCGTGGTTAGGCTTGTTTTAATCTTTATTATGAAAAGAAGCAGAATTTAATTAAACGTGTATGTAAAAAAAACTAGGGTAACTTCTCTTAGTCCAAAGTTATACCACCTTTCTATCACAACAGCCTGAAACTCCACAGCTAACATGTTGTTTTAGTTCTTTAATCTACATTTTAAAAAACAAAATGAAGTGCAGAATATGATGTGATTTTATAGTGAGCCAGACTGGTCTGTTTTCTTGTCAGGGTGTAGTCCATCAGACATTCACTGTGACCAAAGTAATGTGAATGCACTGATCTGCATCATCCTCTGCTGAATCAGCAGCTCTTAGCAAACTCTCTGCAGGTTTTGTTAGAACCAGGTGAGCTTTATCCTTTTGTTTCCAGCGCTGTACTAACCTGGCTTACATGCTGCTGCTAGCCTTACAGATTAACCTCTTCCCATCAAGCATTATAAACACACACACACACATAAACACTGCAAAATCAATTAAATTACACACAACAAGGCCTTTGGGACCTTTAGTTTAGCTGCTAAGTCATATTTTAGCCACTTAGAAACACCTGGCATTGATTTGTTTGAAATAAAAATGCTCCTAATAAGTGTGAAGATTAAAACTTTGCAGGAAACTGTGAGTTCAAGTCTCGAAATCTGTATCAGGAAAGCAACTGTAAGTGCATCTGTCATCCTCTCCTACATAAGTCTCCTGCATTTTTAGACATTCAATTGTGAATTATGGTATTTTCTTTAAAGTTGAGCTCAAATATTCTTCCTTTTCCTTACAGGTGTCCTCCAGTATTTCCTCTTGGCAGCATTCTTGGTTTAAACTGTTTTGTTTCTCAGGTGCACAGAGCAGAAAGGTAATAGCTAACTAAAGCGAAGGCGTGTGAATATCTGTGGTTAATGTTTGTGTCGACTCGAGCAGCCAAAAAAAAACCCCCAAAAACCTGTCCTTTCAGCTCAGAGGTGCATCATCCGTTACTGAAATCAGACGATTGTAAACGAGGACGCCGTTTCCACATTAGAGATGATTGAATAAAGCAGCTTGAGGCTCCCAGACTCATAATTAATTTAACACAACATACAGCTGCAGGGCTGCTCTGCAGTCTCACCACAGTTCCAAAATAATGGTCCCCGAACCAGCTGAGCTGCAGCGACTCAAACACCAGCTCATTTCCTTGTGCGGGTCAGGAATGAGGGAGGGATGGTGGAACTCGTCTGCTGCAAGTCCCCGACGCTTCCTTTTGTTTCTCCACTTCCTCATGTTTTTACTTTGCACACCCACAGCTCAGGAATCCCACAGCAGTACATGCATATTTTAAAAAAACAGTATTTTCTTCAGGGTCACGAACACTGTGATCAAAGAATGTATTATGTCATATTTAGCATTTTATATTCTAACCAGTAGTTCTGTCACTAGTCAGGCTGTATTGAAGATAAAAACATTTCCAGATGAGCTGATAAACTTGATCTCTGGTTAGACAAGTTTTATGATCAGGGGTCAACCTGACAGCAGGAGATCTAACATTCCCCAGATTGTTCAGAACGCGTCGCTGCTCTGCTTCCTCACTAACTTCCTTGTATATTCAGTGAACCGATAACAAGACACGAGATAAAAACCCCAGCGTTTAGAGGAAACTCAGTCTGTTTATACCGAGCTGTATTTTCAGCGTTAATTGCATTTGGGAAAACCTCGTCCATTTACTTTCAGTCTGTTCTTTTTATATTGAAATGACTCCATTACCATCCATTAGTGCTGATATCTGTGACGATGGCTCCCTCGTTTAGCGAAGCAGCGCTCTCTGCATTCGAGGCCGTTCCTCTTATGCGTCATCGGTAATTAAATTAAAACCTGCCTGTTACGAATCCAGACGCTGTGTGCTGGATCTGGGTTCGCTCATCAGGACGGTTTCTTCCTGGATCAGTTCTGTTGGATCAGAGTTGCAGAATGAGTTTTGAACAGATACGAGTGGATGCTGACGGACGAATGAAAAAATAATCTGTTTAATCTCCTGATCGTAGTGTTAATGCAGCTGAGTTGACAAATTCAAAATAATTCACAATATCAAGAAACACATTTTACAACTGAGATGCAATGTGATGTGTGCTGGTCAGTGTCTAAACATCGCCCCCTGCTGGAGACGCAATTACATAACAGCTGAAGCTTCAGGATTTGTTTTTTTACTGTTTTTAAAGATCTTCTTCTTAACAAGGAGTCTGGTTGTGAGCAATTAAATACAAAAAGACAAATATAAAAATGCAAAAATACATTCTATTGAGTGAAATTGTTTTTTTTAAACAACGACTGATGAGATTAAAAGTGCTTCAGAACAGCAGTGGTGATTTTTTTTTGGGAAACGAAGGCCTCGCTGCACATTCGGACAGATTTAATGACGCAAAACTGTCACTGACGCTGTATTTAAAGTCCATGTATACGGTGATTCACATTTAATTTTTACAATTTGAAATGAAAACTGTAATGAGAGAAACAGACATTGAGACGTTCTTCACATAAAGTTCTCCAGAAAGCCTTTCATAAACTGACGCCCGACGCCTACTCTCGTCTAAATGGTGGATAAATTCAGAGCTGTGTAAATCAGATTAGTGGTGGTGCAGATGAACCCGATCAGGTTGCAGAGGCTGGACAACCCGTGGTACCGGCCGAACGTGCTCCTCAAGGCTCTGTACTTGGGGTCCTGCTCTCTGAGCTTGGCATAACCCTCTTTCTGGCTGCCGAGGCCGACCTGGTTCCCCAGGCCATGCTCCTCCTCCACCGCCCTCATCTGGAACATCACCTCGGTGGCTGCGGGGCCGAACCACTGAGCGTTCAGACCGGCCATGATCAGCGCCACGAAGTACAGAAACATCTGCAAGACCAGAAGGAACACAACAGGATGACAACACGATGCTGACTTGAGCGTTGGGCAGCACTTATTCTGGCAGATTAATCGTAGCAGCTGGACTTGCTTGAGTTCCTTGAAGACGTTCCACCTCTCATCCAAGAAGCTTCATCAGTTCTGACTGACTAGTTGGGAGTTCTGGATGCTGATATCCTTAAGGAGCCATTAACACCTGAGTTTCACTTTCAACTGGGGGTTGTTGCTCCTCCCCCTCGTTTAGGATAAAAGTATGTGGAACTCCCAACTAGTCAGTCAGAACTGATGAAGCCTCTTGGATGAGAGCTGAAATGTCTTCAAGGAACTCAAGCGTTGCTACGATTAATCTACCAGAATAACCATGACCTGGATGACTGAGGATCTTCACAGACATGTTGGACAGCACTGCATGTGTTTAATACTATCAGTGCTTCCATTCTAACAATAACTACAGTAAGTTTAAGTGTGATGTCTGACCTGCACACTCTCATGCCAGTCCAGCAGCTCCCTCGGATGGTACACAGCATACACCGCCAGGCTGACAACGTGGCTTCCAAGCAGGCTGTAGAAGTACAAAGGGAAGAGCTTGCTCTGCACCAGGCCAAAGGTGTGTCGAGTTACCTGCCGCACCAGCGCAAAGCCTGCAGACACAGAAACCAAACACGCCGTTGAAACAGGAATGCATACAGCATGTCGTATGTGACTCCTCTGTCCGTGGCCCACTAACCTGCGATGAAGGTGACCCACACCTGCATGCCCCACGAGAAAGAGAGCACCAGGAGGTGCAACACTTTGACCAAGTCGGTCGGCTCCCCCTCTGTTGCCATGGTGTCACTTTGCAAAACACAAACATACAGTAAATAAAGTTAGCCAGCATGAACACTTTATCTCCTCAGTGTTTAGGGTCCCACAGATCCCACTGCTGTGAAAATAATAAGGACAAAATAGCGCAAAATAATTACTCAATTTCAAATACATATTAACATTTTAAAAAATACAACTAGGCTACGAAATAATTACAGTAATGTTGAATTTTATTACATTCTAGCAGATTGAAAATGTCAGGAGTTGTTTGTTGTTGCCCATTGAACAGAGTTTATGGTTCAGGCTGTGCACCGTATTTTAACTTAGGTGTCATTAAACTTTGTACATTTAGCAGCACGTCTGACTCAGGGTGCAAAATGCTGTGTCACAGGTTTCATAAATTCATGCTTTCCTTGTTGTGCAACAGTCACAGACCGAATATCTGTCTCCAAAGTATTCTTTTCTGACCTCACTAAAACCTTAAGCAGGAGAGCACCTTAACCTCTCTCTTTGCCATGCAGTTATTTAAAAATAGTAAAATGTACAGTGTTTTACCTTACATATTTGACATTAGCTGTTTGCCATCTAGCTCCCAATACGTCCTCTAATCAACAATCTGTTCAATGAAGTTCCAGTAACAGAAATCAAGGCAATCTTATTTGAGATTTAGGAGCAGTAGTGCTTCGTAAAAAGTAATCACTAACAATTATTTTCATTGTCGATTAATCCGTTAAAGATTTTCTGGATTAAACGATTAGTTGTTTGGTCCATCAGATGTCATAAAATTGTAAAAAAAAAAATGCTGATCAGTGTTTTTAAAAGCCTCAACAGTTTTTTTTTGTCCACAACGGAAAGGAAATCAGAAAATATTCAAGTTCAAAATGCTGGAATTACATTAAAAATGACTCAAACCAAGTCATCGAAGTCAAAATAGTTGATGGTTGATTCAACAGTTGACGACTAATCAATTATTGCAGCACTAACCATTGATCACAGACACACAGCATGTATAAATTGACAGTATTTCACACTAAAGTCAGAGTTTGCAAAGTATAATTAATGTGCAGCAGGTTTCTCAAATATGTCCCCAGTTCAGCATCATGTTGACAGGCAATTATCATACTATTACCTAAAACAAACGTTAGGTAAGTTTTGGATGGGACCATAATCTGCAGGAGCCAAAACACACATTAAAAAAAAAAAAAAACAGTTTCTCAGAGATAACTGTCAGTGCATCATGTGAGGCTGCTGCTCCACATGTGCACAGACCTGATAAAGCCCCGGGATGAGATAAGGGAGGCAGAGCGGGAAAAATACATCTCAGAATTCATTGACAATTATACCACATATAAGCAACCTGAAGGCATCGACTTATCGGAAAGAGGCGATAAAAGGTGAAAACATGAACCTGCGCTGTGATAACGATTCGACGTTAGCCGTCCAGCTAACCAGCGTTAGCCTCGGAGCTAACACAGAGTTACAGCCACAAGTTTTAACTCATCTTTTTTGGACTTTACGTGAATAAATATGATAATTTATTACACAAGTCAGCACGTACCTCGTTGCTCTTCTCCTGTAAGTTACTCGGAATGACACGACAAATGAATAATGTCAGTTTGGTCCAAGGTTCAGCGGCGACAACCGAAACACTTCCTCTGTCCGAAAGTTGTGTCCGCAAGCCCCGCCCCTTTAGCCAAAAGGGACCAATCATGTTCCTCGATAATGACACTGGCTCATGTTTCATCTTTTTGATTGGTTCCTTCTCCATGTTTACCCTCATAGCCCCTCCCCCTTTTGCTGTCTATACCATCTGCTCCACGTGTGTATTGTGTGCAGATGAGCAGCAGGTTGTGTCGTGATGATGACTACAAGAGGGAAACTACAGTTTGACATGTTGGCTCCTGCTAGGTGCCAAATTCAGCTTATTTTTTTGGGGGGGGGGACTTTTTAATGCTAGTGAATTCTAAAAATAAAAAAAAGGGTCTTATACAAAAATAGATATGTATACAATTTATCTGTCCACAGAGAGTTTTGAGCACTTTCGCATCTCATCAGTTCCCAGCAGCACTTTCTTTGACTTCAGCAGCAGAAGTACTGAGGAGGTTTCATACTCCTGTGTCTACTGAATGCGACACAAGAGGACTCACACACACAGTTTTTTTAAATTGAAAATATTTTAACTTTAAATGGCAGCTTTGTTTTTGTCATTCTGGGGAGAGAAACCTGTTATCAGTGTGCTTCCTTGCATGTTGCTGCCTAAACACAGCCACCAGCCAAACTGTGAGAATTTGAGAACTCAGTTGGATAATCCAAAAATAATTTAGAGTTGTCCTGTCAAATGAAAGCTACCAGTATAGCCAAGTGGGGTTATTTTCATCTTTTCCAAGGCAAAGTTTTTGTTGGAAGCTTGTTTGCTAGTTCAGAGTACCCAACTGACATGTTGGCACCTCCCTCAAATTACACCATGGTGACGGCTGTGCGCTCCATTTTTGGTTAGAGAGAAGCCGTCAGAAAAAGTCAGGCCTGGCTGCATCCCTCTTGTTAAAGAATGTGTGGAAAAACATGCAAAATGGAGGTCATGAGTCACTAGTGTGATTTCAATGTTGATATACTAGTTAATAAACCTGCAATCAGACACTATTTCACCTTTCATACAGTTTTGTACAGTTCAAAGTGCTTCACCAGTGGCTGATAAGCTGATAAGACGGAGCAATCACAGAGTAAAGAGAAAATAATAAATTAATTACAGATTAAGAAGACTATCTTTATTGTAATATAAAGGTCACATCATGTTAGAGATTGAAAAGAAAAGAAAAGAATCAAATCTAAATAAAAATTAGACTAAAATGCAACTCTGCATTTCCAAGCCTGCTGATCCGAGCAACAAAATAGTTTCAAAATGTACATTTACATTCTTTTGGCTGGTTTCTGAATCCCTTACAGACACAAAAAGTTGATGAACTCTCCTCCACCACATATGGAGCTCAGAATCTAATCTGCTGACTCAGTCACATAAACACTTTTTTTAGGCAGAGGTGGTGCTGCATCGACACCTTAACATTTCCCCGGGTTTTAGCAACAACAACAACAAAAAACAGTAAAAGTTTGGAAGCATTTTGTTTGCTGCACTCTTGAAGGTGAAAAAAAGCACATCGTGATTCATTCATTATGTGACCCTATAGAGTAAACAGAAGGTAAGAATCTGCTGTTGTTGCAGTGTACACACTCCTATCAAACTTTCTTTTGCATAGAATTGAGAAACTTGTACTTTAACTACACCTGCTGTATTAATTACATCTACTGTATTAATTATTATTTGCTTATTCCCCTATTTTTATTATTATTTGTTTAATGTTTAATGTCTCTGATGTGTGTCCTTCATCTGCTGTGGACCACATCTGTTTACCTCCATCTACCCGGAGGTGGGATTAAGACAACAACATTCGCCATTGGATATTTTTCGACCAATCACAACCCGACCAAATTCCCAACCGACCAATCAGCGGCGGCCTCAGTCGGATGCTGCATCCGGATCGACTTGAATACGCAGAGCATCCTCCGCTGGAAGGCATCTCTCCGGTAAGACAACCGCGTCACGTCAACTTAAATGTCAAAAAGAAAAAAACCCGCATCGTAGAGAGAAATGGAAAACACACCTCAGCTTTGCCTTTCCTTCTTTTCTATTCTTTCGAGAAGCTATTTTTCCGTTGCTAGCAGTCTGTACACACATGCTAGCAGCTGCTAGCGGGTTAGCTGCTAGCGCGTAGCTTTTTGGCGCTTCGCTGTTGAGTGTTTTTCCATCCTGTCTGTGTAGATTTGAGCTCTTTAGGATAAATTTCATCTGCAGACAGAACCCGTAGCTGTAGTAAAACCTAATGCAGGTTTTGTTATCTACGCTGGAGGCAACTTTAATGACTCTCGCTGAGATAACGGTGTAATGTTTTGTTTATGATGGTTGTTGTGACGCTGCCTGCCTCTGAACCAGGTGATCACTGTTTAAAAATGAGCTATTCATAATTAATAAATGATTTAACGTCCAAACAATAGTGTGTTAATGGTAAGATAGGTAGGTAATGGGTTAAAACTTCTGTTCTCTCAGACAAATACAGTTATACGCACACAAATATAGGTATCTGTTCATTGATAATAACTGGTGATTGTCATATAATTCAAATCACAGTGTGGTCACGTGTTTATTTACGTAGCAGGAGCTGCAATTTTCGGTTAATACAATGAATGAAGTGTAGTGATGCCTACAAATGATCTTCTCCAGACATAAGAGAAACAATCTTGTTTGGTACAGAGCACAGAAAAAGTCACATAATCAGTTTCATCCATCCATTATCTATACACCGCTTAATCCTCACTAGGGTCATGGGGGGCTGGAGTCTATCCCAGCTGACTCAGGGTGAAGGCAGGTTCACCTGGACAGGTAACCAGTCTATCACAGGGCTACACTTAGAGACAGACAACCAAGCACACTCACATTCACACCTACAGACAATTTAGAATCACCAATTAAACTCAACATGTTTTTGGACTGTGTGGGAGGAAGCTGGAGAACCTGGAGAGAACCCACGCTGCACGGGGAGAACATGGAGACTCCATGTAGAAAGATCCCGAGTGTCCTCACCAGGACGCGAATCGGCGACCTTTTTGCTGCGAGGCAATGGTGCTAACCACCGAGCCACCTTGCAGCCCCTGTTTTATTTTAATTACTGGAAAATAAAACACAGACACCAACGCCGCAATCACAAAATAGTTGCATTATGATTTTGTTTTTTATACTGTTCAGCGTTAGTATCTATGTGCAAAAACGTCTCAAAGGTGTGAATATGTCTGGTAATGACCATAAATTACAATAAAAACCTCTCCGTTTGTTTTTAATCTTCTTCTGCAGAGACACAATGGGGCGCAGAAAGTCAAAGCGAAAGCCACCTCCCAAGAAGAAAATGACAGGAAACCTGGACACCCAGTTCACCTGCCCGTTCTGTAACCACGAGAAATCCTGTGATGTCAAAATGTAAGTACCTCAGTGTGACTCCTCCCAGTGCTTAAAAGTACAAAAAACTATAAACACTGCACTATATAAACTGTTTGTTTTTCAGGGAACGGACCCGAAACACAGGAATTATATCCTGCAGCGTTTGCTTGGAGGAGTTCCAGACTCCTATAACATGTATCCTTTTAAAAAAGGTGCTACAGCTGCAGTTATTCCACTTTTCGGTGGCCTTGATATCACCGAGTAACTCACACTTCCATCCCCACTCTCCACCCCTTGCCTGCTTTTTTGCATTTTTCAAAGTTACTCATCGGATCATGCAACACTTTCTATTATTAAAACAAGAAATTCAAAGATGCTGGTGGACACGTCTCACCTGGAACGCCCCTTAACCTCCTTCTCAACAGATCTGTCCGAGCCCGTGGACGTTTACAGCGATTGGATCGATGCCTGTGAAGCGGCCAACCAGTAGTTTTCCTGACTCTCTAACCTCACTCTCCGCCTGGTGAATTAGTTTCCTATCGAGATAGCACAATGTAGCCAAATATTTTTTTCCTCCCTTCCAGTGTGTGACGTTGTTAGATTCACTTTGTGTGGTGACACATTCCCTCCGGCTGGGCCAGAGCGTCGCCACGTCTCTGTCGCGGTTCTTTATGTAAACGTTGGATTAGATCATGTTGTATTTTTTCCTCACAATTTTTGGACCAAACTGTCATATTATGAAGTTTAAACTCTAACCATGCAGGTGTTTTTAAGTGTTAAACATTCCACGTCCTCCGTTGGTATTTTTTTGTGATCAAGAAATTATCTTTTTAGATTTTTGTATTTAGCAGATTTGACACGATGCTCTTTTATGACGGGTCGTTTTTATTTATGTCCAACCCTGTCACTAATGCACTGACAACCTTTTTGTTTTTTCCTCCTCCTCTCTAAATCTGTTGCTTTATTTCGTCCAGTATATATATTTGTACTGCTAGACTTTCCTTTTAAAAAGATTCCAATCATTTTATTACTTCAGTGTATTTCACATGTGAGCTGCTGACAGCGATGTCAAAAAAAATATATTAAAAAAATCAAGTCACAATCATATTTTTGAAGTGTTTTTATTGCACAAATGTCATGTTTAGTGAAAGGCGTATAGAAAAAAAAAAAAAAATCAAGAGGTTAGCAAAGATGTATGAAACAAAGCCAACACTTGAGGGTAAAATGCTGCTACACATGAACTCAGTATCAGTGCCATTCTGGGTATCAGAGGGTATTAATGATGATAAATTAACGCACTGTTTAAAAAAAAAAAAAATCTACATTCCTATATTTGATTGAATAAAAGGAAGACATTTGGAGGGGGGGGATACAGTAAATGAACAACCCACTATAAAGGTCTGGGAACACTAGATGGCACACTACTACAGGTCTTAAATCGTGGCTGCTTCTGAGCGTGATAGCGTGGAACCACATTGCATAATTCAAAGCCAGTCTGAAAGCGTAGAAGGACCGGTGGCCTACGATTGGCTCCTCTAACCTTAAAGTAACATTACATTCAAGACATTCGGTGGGTTTTTTTTTTTTGCAGTATAAAAATCACACTCATCTGCATGTTTGGTAGGATTCACATTAGCGATTATCTGCAAGCGACCGGGTCGGCGGTGGACAAAGCACTCAGACGCTTTACTTAAGTATCCTCATTACTTTAGATGCGACTGTAAAATCTTATTTGTGTGAAGTTAAAATGACAGTATTACCATCAAATCTGTTGCACAGCAGAAGTATAAAGTGGCATCAGATGAAAATACTCAAGTATAAGCGCCTCGGATGTGCTTTGTGACATCCCACCGCTGTTTTCTGCGAGGCCGGGTAAAGTGCAAACACTAAAGCCAAAGTTCACGAAGGTTCACCGGGCGAAAGCAAAAGACTAAACACGCGAAACAGAAGCTGACTTCGTTTAACAAATTGGATGCGGCCACACCTACGTTTCCTCCTTCATGAAAGCAGCGTACCGTGCGTCACTTTCTTCAAATGCCTTCAACACAAGCCTCGTAAATTAGCCCCTGTGAAGCAGCACAATGGTTAATTTGGCAGGAGGCGTGTTAACTACTGCTCAGCGCAGGTGCTCACTAACTAAAGCAACGTCTGCTGCGCGAAGCTATAAGTCCGTCGTAGCTCCCCCCCGCCTCCCCTCCTCCCCGGATCAGTCTGTGGACTCGTGTCAAGCCGAGGGGTGGAATCCTAAACCCGGCGGAGCTCCAATCTGGAAGTGGACTTCGTTCCAACTGGGCCAAAGTTCAATAGCACCATCACAGTCGCTTGTCTCCTCTCAGGGGGGGACTTTGAAAGGCTTCATCAGTGATCAAACTGGGTTAGAAAGGAGGTGAGGTGATCGGAGGGGAGGGGGGGCAGTTAAAAACCTCTAATTACAGTGCAAGTATAAAAAGCTGTAGAAAAAAAAAAATCTATAAATAGCAAAGGTCAATAAATTTAAACTCGTTGTGTGGGTGTTTCTAGACGTAAGCAGAGGGAAGGAAGTCGGCCACTGCGTTAAACTTTTTGACGTAAGGTCAGTGTAAACACTATTTTTTTTTAAAATTTGACTCATGAAGAGGTTCCTAGGAATGAAAACACGTTTTGGAAAAAAGATGGGGAATGAAGCTCAGTGTTAAATAACAGTCTGGAAGGTTTGCTCGTCACAAAGACAGCTGTGGCCGGTTGTCTGGAGTTAAAGCAAAGAGGAGGTGAGGCTGTCCGCGGTTTCCTTTCCTTAGTCAGAGTATTGGTTGTAGCCGTCGAACTCCACCTCGTTGCCGTTGTCGTAGTGGGCCTCGGTGGGGTTGGCGCAGTACTTGTTGTCGTAGACCTGGCGGGGCAGGCCGTAGGTGGTCATCCCCTGTTGGGACGCCACTTTGTTGGTGCCCATCTGCAGAGAGATGGTGGTGGTGTCACAGTTCTCCAGCTCCAGCTTTTTGTCAAAGATGTGCCTCCTGGTTCCCGGAGCCGTCATGCCGGACTGGTGGACAGAACGCAAGACGGAGGGGTTTTAGAAACAGACCTGACAGTGAAGCACAGCGGGGGGCGTGATGGTATGAAAGTGTGTAGGGGAGATGGCCCCATGGATGTTTGTGGATATACCAACATACTGTCTGACAACATGACTCTCAGACGGCAGAAGTTTGGCAGAAGAAGAATATCACAAGCGTCTGTAGAAGGAAAAAATCTGAGCAGCTATGCTGCCTGACTCAACACCCCATAGATGTTCAGTTCAGCAACACAACCCCTCCAGCAAACTCCAAAAAAACTGTATTTGTTGCATCAAGCTCCTACTGCGGGGCTGGTATTTTAAACAGATGGATAGAACTTTATTGATCCCTTTGGTAGAACCTCAGGGAAATTGTTGAATATGGTAATATGGTAAATATAAAGTGTTGGTTTTACATAAAAACAAAAGCCCCATTGTTGAATGCACGAGAAATGCAGTAACTGTGAGGTGATACAGTTTTGAATTAACTAACATTTATGGGAGATTGTACGAGATGTAGAGTCGTGACTCGATAATCCGACACTAAATGTAAAACCTTTTATGTTGGATGGCAAGGCTGTCGGATTGTCAAGACGGAGGTCGAGATACAAGGAGGGCTTGATGCTGGAAGGCTCATTAGTTGCTAATTATTGTTCATGGTTGTTATAATAACTAGTAGGGCTGGTCCCAATAGCACTTTCTGGGCTCAATTAATGCTGAATATCAGAATATTCGGTGTGGTTGGGGGACACTTCCACCCCGGGGGAGTGCTCTGATGTCGCATTTAATTGGAAATGTGAACGAACTCGCAAAGAAATTGGATTTCACAAAAAAATCCAAACTGAGCATCAAGTCCTGCAGTGTGAACGTAGCCAATCTGTGGGATTGTTCAGTCAGATAATACGCCTTTATCCTGATTGGTGACATAAAACGTCATGTCGGAGACAGAATCCAAGACTGTCGGTATGTTAAGGCTGTTTTTATGGGTTCTGTTCGTTTCTTCTAAAAACCTGTCGGACAGCAGGTTTAGGATTGTTAAGGATCGGATTATTGAGTCAGGACTGTATTTCTGTTGCGTAGCGTCAGTACATTCCACCATTAAAAGGCCTACACAGTACATACAGGATGTACAGACAAGATAAGACCCTTAATCTATTAGTTTCAGCTGGTTATTAATTACATTAAGCTCCCTATACAACAATGGCTATATTTCAATTTCTTCCCATTTTTCCCATGTACCCTGTGGCACTAGGACAAGCACTGGCACTACAAACAGGTATCCTTGATTTGGAATCGTTGCGAGAGCATCAAATATATTTTCAATCTGTCTCTGAAATGATTTTTGCCCTCAGGAGAAACCTATGGGCATGTGGTCCACAGACACATGAATTCATTGTCAGCCCTCGTCTTTTCATAGGAACAACATAAGTATGGAAAAACTGCATCGAACTCTAAACTGGACGAGTCAAACCATCGTGTCAGAGTGAAACAAGAACTCTCTTCTCACCTGGCTGGCTCCCTTGTTGGTGCCCATCTGTAGGCTGATGGTCGACTGGTCCACTGGGTTGTCCATGCCTATCTTAGCATCATACAGATGGCGTCGTGTCCCGTAAGAGGTCATGCCCTTTTGACTGGCGAGCTTGTTGGTGCCCATCTAGAGAGCGAGCAAAATGGAGGGACGTGAATAACGGACAGTGCACTCTAGTTGGCATAGAAGTCCCCTCAGTATATCTATTTATCTGCTGTCATCTATTAACAGCTTGTTCCTATGTTACTGAAAATCAGAGCAGTTGAAAAAGATGCACACTGAGTCCAGCAGGGGGCACAATGACAAACCTCTGTGATGCCTCCTCTCTGAACACTTTCTATCTACAGTCCTACATGGAAGTCAGACCATAACGAGGTAGATTACAGGCTGAGCATTAACACATCTCTTACCTGTAGTCCTATGAAGTTACGTCCCTCCCTGAGCTTCTCCGGAGCGAAGCGTCGCTGCTGTTTCTCGGCGTACTTCACTCCTAAATCGTACTTGGAGTGGAAACCTTTGGACTTGGCCTGAGAGAGAGAAGCGGTAGAGACAGAGAGGAAAATGGTGGTAATACAGTGGATTTTTCAGACCCATGTTGTTTTTATTATATCCCTGCTGCTGCCGCCACACTGTAGTCCGTGCAACACGATATTTTATTATCAAGATCAGGTACTAATGTACAGCTGGTGGTGAGCACAGCGAGGTACCGAGATGAGGCCTTCCTGTAAAAGATGCCACTGGAGAATATGAGTGTGTGTGTGTGTGCGCTCACCATTCCAGCCAGAGCGATGAGTGTGGACTGGACCTGAGTGTGGTTGACGTTCTCGAACAGATCGTTGGCCTCGAAGATGTCATGTGGCCTCAGGCCGTACTCCGTAATCGCACGGACAAAGTTCCCGATGTTCTCCAGCTGAAGGAAGACGAAAAGGAATTAGCTGAGAAGTGCATCATTTGGCTTTGAGTTCTACCTGGAATACAGCTTTACACAGCTCAAAAAAGGCTATGTTTTAAAGTAGGGGTTCTCAAACTGGGGGTCGGGACCCAAGATAATTTCAGGGGGTCGCCAGATCATTGTAAAAAATAAAATAAAGCCTATATTTATTAAATAAATGTGTATTAGGGCTGTGAAAATTAAAAGTGTGTACTTCTTCCCACTCCCTTTTTCAAACTTGTTAATATTATGATTTAATTATGTGATATTATTCTTTAATGCTCTTTTTAAAATTTGTTTTCATATTTTTTTCCCGTTTCATTTGTTCGAAATAAATTCAAGTCATTCATTTAAAAGAAAAGAGATTAAACTGTGGAAGTAACACATTAATTTTAACGCATTAACGCACGAACAACAAAGTTATTACTCATAATAAATTAAAAATTCAAACTGGGGGCTCACGAACACAAACTTATATTATCTTGGGGATCGTGGCTCAAAAAGTTTGAGAACCACTGAGTTAAAGCAGTAGTTCTACGGTTCATTTAGCTTTCTTTTACTCTTCTGTCTAAATACAAAGCTAGAGCTTGTGGGCAGTTAGCAGAAATGGAAAACAGTGTTCATAATTATGTCTGTATTTGTGCACAACCACCTGTAACTACAAATCGGTACATTTTCATTAGCGTAGAACGAGCCCTCGTATCTACACAGGAAGTCTGAGTGGCAGCGACAGCCTTTTCTATTCAGAACTTTAAGCCCTAGTAAAATGTAAACAGAGGACTTAGATAAAAGTTCACCTCCCCTACAGTTGCCAGGAACAAGGGAATTAGCTAAAGAGACCAGAAGTGTCTTTACACGAGGCTGCAAACGCGAGTATTTCTGCTGTAAAGTTGGTCGTATTAACATGGAAGTCTATGGGGGCTGACTCGCTTTGGGGGCCGACCTCTAGTGGACATTTGAGGAACTGTGTCATCATGTTTCTACAGGTGCCCTGGAGGGACAAATCAAACCCCATCTAGAAAAAGTACCTTTTGCATTTTCACACTGCAGTGACACCGTAGATTCTCCTACATGTTTGGAAGTGGAGGGGTATTCAGTTAATCTGCACCTTTACTACAGGACGCCACTAAATCCTACACACTGGTCCTTTAAACGACAATTACTAAATATTGACAGTCTAAGGACCCCCCCTACCCCGCCTGCCTCCATCTGTCCATTGCCCTTATTGACTCTGTCTGGCTGTCTAATTATGTATGCATTCATTTGCAGCAGTGTCAATATCAGAGTACATTTTTTTTTTTTTTTGGAAAGTGCTTTAATCAACCCCTTAAAAGCCCTGTTTGCTTTCTCCGTCCTATAAAAAGCTAATAAAAGCCACGCCGAGATGGACTTCATTTGATATGGCAGCTACTTTATGGAATGTAAATAAAACCCTGTGATGTCAATGCCAGTGCAGCAGACGAGCCCAGTTCCACATGGTCTGGAAAACGAGCCTGACTTTGAGTCTAGCAGGACAAATCAGACTTTTTTTTTTTTTCTTTCCATTGAGCTGGTGCTTTACCTGGTGCCAGTTTTGACTGGAGTTGTTGATCTTTTTCACAGAACCTGGCTGGAGAACATTAATGAGTCTGTAAAGGGGAAAGACAGATAATGTAAGAAACGTCCACTTTTCTTGATCATTTCTGAGCCAGAAGCTTCTGTCCACTCACTCGCACAAAAGCACTCCATCCTTCAGACTCTCCATGAAGCTATCTCCGATCCTCTGGCCCGTCACATCCTGGATCCACAGCCTCAGCTCCTCCTCCTTGTGCGGGTCGTACTTTCCTGCGAGCTGATCGGGGGGGAAGCAGAAGAGCAGAGATCAATGAAACAACAAAAAAACGATGCTCAGAAGCCTCTCGTCTGCTTTGGAAGAGCAACAAGCATTAATATACGCAGGACAAATATCACCCAGCGGAACAGAAACCCATTTAAAAGTTGTGCTCGCAATCAAGGTTTTCAATTTGAAGGGAAAACTTTCACAAAAAAAAACAAGTTTGGTGCTAGTTATAGTAAAAAAATAGTCGTTTCCTTTTGTTTTTCTTCAATTTGACTTAAGCCCCAGTAAACAGGAGAACGTTCTTTAGAGACTCAACGAGAGGAGAGTTTCAGACGCCTTCAGGGACGAGGATAGGATTTAAAATGCAGACGGCGTGTAAAATAGATTGTTTATATCTGGTACGCTTTGTAAAAAATACAGAAATATACAAAAATGAGCTAACAACCACATTGCAAGTCATATTATTAAAATGACGTCGCCCCGTATCATCTGTTTCCTCATTTGGACAAAGCGACGCATCACATTTTAAAACCCATTAGGTCACCACCCTGAGCAGTTTCTTAGATGCCCCTCTGATGGATTGCTTTTATCTCATCACGCCTGGATGACTGGCCCTCTTTACCTGCCTCAACCAAAACCATATCGATCCACTCCAGGATTCAGCTGCCGGGCTTTTAACCAGAACCGAGAGACACAATCACATCATTCAGGCTTCTTACACCGGCTCCCACTCGGGTGGGTTTTAAGTCCCATCATAGCTTCTTTACCCAGCTGTACTCCTGACCTCTTAGCACGCTGCACGCTGTTTAAAACCTTCACGCAGACCTCTTTTGTTTGCTCCAGATAGAAACTACAGTCCTGTCATCGGTACACGGCAGTTTCTAGATAATGCAGACTGTCTTTTATCATATAAGAAACACTATATGGACGCGTTAGCAAGCTAAAATAAGTCTGAAATGTCCTCCTTCTGCAGCCATTAGGTCTCCATCATCATTTCTTTTCCCAAGTAGGTGGCAACCAGCTTGTCTCTAAGGGAAGGGACATGCCTGTAAAATCTTTCTAGAGGTTAGCGGGGTGAAAAAAGTGCATCCTCGTTATATTTGATGGTGCTATAACTCTGCAGACTACACTACCCGTCCACATGTTGTGTTTTTTAGTTTTCTGGAGCAGCTGACTGTGCTGCAGAGATGATATCTCATCAGATTTATCCAAAAAAAAGTAGTAGAGGAACCAGTTTCTAGCAAATTAGCCCGACAAATTCACATTTTTTCATTGTTCAGACGAGCATAAATACCGACAAGCATGCAAGTGAACAAAATAAGTGTTTTCTCTGTAATTTGAACAACATTTTCAGGAGCTTTTAGAGGGAAAACTGCTCATAATCAACCCACACATCTAATAAAGAGGCCGAATAATACAGATAGTATCCATGAGAGTGGTAGAAGGCAGTGCACAGCTTCCCTTCAGCTTCTCATAAGCACGACTTCAGGTTTTCAGTTACTAAAATAAGTCCCATAAAGGATGCCACACCACAACCGAGAGCCTAAAGAAACAGCCAGAGATGAGGTGTACGCGAAGAACAGGAAGGAAAGGACATTCCTGCATGCAGAAACACGCCGGCCTCCCTCTCCTCTCTCCATCTATTTCCTTATTGGCACAAGCATGCTGCCCTAATACTTTGAATTCTGGCATGGGGGTTTAAGGCTGCCTCCCCCCCGCCTCCCGCCTCCCCCCCTCTGCACACCCACACAAGTTCTCGCCCCCTTTTCCTGAATGTTCTGCAGATAAGTCTTCGCAGTCTGGGATCGGCAGCCAACACAAACAAGCATTTCAAAGCAGCGGGGATAGCGTGGCTTCCACTCCATCACACCAAACTTGGGAGAAACAGCTTTCCTAAACACTCCCCCCTTCTCCCTCTCCCATCGGCTCGGCTCAGATTTCTCTCTCTCTCTTCTCTCCCTTTGGGTTTTCCAGAATCTGCCCTTTTACAGCGAGCCGACTATTCAGGCAAACCGACGTCTGATAAAGACGGGCCAAGATCGACAGGTCCAGTGGAGGTAGTTCAGCTCAGAGTCTGATTCACTTGTGTTGTTGCTTTTTCTTTTTTCTTCTCGCTGGAGAACTGGGGAACAGAACTGGCTGTTCTCTGAGCTATGAAAGATGTATTAAACTCCGAGCACAAATAGTCAAATGGAATGAAGCAGGGATGAAAGAAATAAAAAAATAAAAACATCCAAGTTTAGAAAACATCTGTGATTTCCATTTTTAACAACGGACTCATGTTGATGCTCGATAAAAACCTGACAGATTATTTATTTAAGGTGTAGGAGCTGCTTGAGGAGGGTCACTGTGGTAGTAAATGTTAAAACATCTTCACACAAGAGGAGTTCGGTCATAAATCTGTAGACTGACTACATTACGTTACGCTGGCTGTCTGAAGGTCGCCAGCATGTAGCTTGAAGTGGCCACCGTGTGCTACTGGTCATTCCACACCAAGTAAGGATGGAGAAGTAAAAAAATCCAAAGTGTTCTGAATTGTTTCCTATAAATTTAATGTTTGTTATTATTTCTAGTAAGTTTGTGTTACATCCTCTTTAACAGAAGTCCATCAAGAGTAAAGCCCAAGTTAAACTGAAGTCTAAGTGGGAAGGATTATTAGAAAAATGTAAATAAAGTTAAAAAAGTTTATATATCATATTATTAGATTGCTAATTGTTGTAGCTGCCTGAGATGAGCTTGTGTTCTACTTTATGAATAACCCAACCGATCACTTTGCACTTATACATGTACATATTATTATTATTTTCTTTATTTATTCCATTTCCTTTTACACTGTTTGAAAATTTGATCCATTTATTTCTGCTTATTTTTTATCCCCTTCTCTCTCTCTCTCTCTCTCTCTATATATATATATATATATAGGTATATATTTATTCTTGTTTTCGGCCGGTGTGGAACAGATACACAAAGCATTTCACTGCAAGTTATACCGCGTATAAGTGTGTTTGTGACCAATAGAGGCCTTGAATCCACTTCAGATTCAGATTGATTCAGAGATCAGTTCCCTTCTAGTCCCAACAAAAGTCTGAATGAATTGTGGGATAATTAGCAAAAGTCGAAAAAACAAAAATCTGTTTGTTGATATTTAAATTTTTGCTGAACAATTTTTGCCTCATTTGCCTGAAAAACTTGTGTTTTTTGTTGTTGGTTTTTAAAAATGTTAGAATATCTGCCAAGTTTCTTTATCTTGTTCAGATTTTTCTGAATTCAAATCAAAATGTTTGAACAGCTCAGCAGTTCGGTCGCGTACCACGTGGACACAAATGCTCCAAGCAGCGAGATCCTGGTTTTCAAAAAGTCTCTATCCGCTGAAATAAAGGCACAAAAATACCACAAAATAATCTT